CCTTTGGTACCGGGACCAGAGTTAATAGGGTGTGTATGGGGAGCATGAGTGGGTGTCCAGCGTGCATTTTTGTAAGTCTTGGGTTGTATGTGTATGTGTGAGCATGAGGGAGGGAGTGTGTGACTGTGTTTGTGTATGACTGTATAGGTCAGGTGGGGCCTTTGACTCCTCCCTTCTCCTGGGACTTCTTTTGTTGCTCTACATCTTCGGCTCCCTTCCCCCTGCCACACCTGGTGTGGGGTGTGGTGCCTTGGTCTGCCTGAGTGTTCGTGGCTCCCGGGTCAGGGGGTTTAAGATTTTTGGCATCTGCCAGATCGATCCTGGTGGCTGCCTGGTGGGATCTGGGTCCCTGGGCTCTGCTGGGTCCCCGGCGGGGGTGGTCGCCCCTGGGCCCCAGGTCGATGGGTCCTGGGCTCGGCCGGCTAGGGGGTGAGAGGCTGCGGGTGGGCCTGTGGGCTTGCCGCTGATATCTCCCGGGACACTGCCGGCTACTGGTTGTGGCCCTCCGGGGCGATCCTCTGCGCCTTTAAAGAGGGAAGGGGCTTTTCTGGTCACAGTCTCCTTGGGGTCCCTGTGCTCTGGGGCAGCTCCTGGATCTCTGGTACTTGAAGCTCCCTCCATCTCCTATGCATCTTTGGGGGGCAGATCTGTGGCCCCTCACACTCTCTATTGGACGCTCCTATAGAGAAACCTTACATATACAAGCGTGGGTACCCACACAGGTGCTCACATGGTGCTCTCATAAGTATGGACTTGGGCACGTTCAACACATGTCTTAAGGCTGTGGTTGGCACTTAATGCACTGTGATTTATTGTCGTGTGATTGTTCAGTAAAACAATGTTGATTTTATATTTCCTCATCAGGTTGACACAGTGATAGCTTGCTCCTGTTGTATTTTTGTGTGTCCCTTTTCTGCAGGTCTAGAAGCAGACTCTTGTTCATCATTGATTGTTTATTTTTGTGGACCCACCCCCACCCCCCACCCCCCACCCCTCGTCTCTTCCTTTCTCTTTCACATCTGTCTCCATGTCTGGTCGGCATTACAAAGCATTTAAAAAACAATAACAATAATGTTTTAAGTATCAGGCGTGACATTAAAAGCAGACGCTTTGATGCTCCACCTGAGAGTAAATCTGTAAGGCTTGTCACCAGCATTCAGACATTAATTCTTTTTGCTTCACAGCCAGACAGGACACGAAAAAAAAATTAAAAATAAAGAACATCTTCTGGGCTCAGAAGCAGCTGCTTGAATTGTCAAGTCAGCCATTTTCCACAGTGCCAGCCTCGCTGTTTACCATATTTGGCAACCTGCAATGATTCCCTCTATTGGCTGATGGGTGTAAACATAAACCCAGTGTTGTGCCCATCAAGATAAATATTGTATTATTTTTAAATTAAAGTACAGCTTTTAAAGGAAACATTGTACCTTTATTCTGCACGTCTAAACGCCCCGTGGCAGAAATATTTTTAATCAAATCAAATCAAAGATACTTTATTAATCCCAGAGGGAAGTTAGAGTTTCAGTACACACAATGCAGAGATCAGACATACATGGGCAAGACACATGACAAGAATTGGTGACTGTGGTCATTCGCAACCCTGAGTTGCGCTACCTTATATATACATATATATATATATATATATATATATATATATATATATATATATATATATAATGTATTTATATATATATATATAATACATATTCCTTTTTATTAAACTGTTGCATATGCAAGCTTTAATTTCTGATACCAATTCAATAAATACATATCTGGTCTTTGGAACTTCTAGAAGAAAATGAAGCAAGTTTTGCCAAACAAAAAAATATATCTCCAAACTAAACCTTGGGTCTGTCATATTTTGACATTTTGAGTGAAAGGAAAAGTAGCTGAAGATTTGTGCATGGTAACATTGGTAGTAAAGCCTAGATCACACTGTGCATATGCCGCGCAGGACTGCTCATATCACACTGTGAGGTTCTCCAGAACGGTGGCACACTGTACAGCCTAAGATTTCAGTGAGCCAAAGCGATGTCTCACTCTAGCAGGACACACTAACATCGCGAGCACAACGCCCAACAAGCGTACATCACTAAAAGCCGACAGCTAACCAAAACAGCAATGCTGAAAAGTTATTAGACTCCAAACCAAACTCCAGAAAGGAGCGGTCCACGTTTCAGCATCTAGCTTCTGCTGTTGCCAATTCTACTCTTAAGTTGTACTCCCGTCACTAGCTGTTCACATCAATCCGTGGCGGTGGTTTCATTGGGGGATTGCAGATGGGAGTCGTAGGATTTCAAGCAGTGCTTGAAGACTGTTGGAGGCAGATTTTGGTCGTGAAGGTGTGCAATAAGCTGTCGCACACACTGGACAGCCACAGATTTGCAAATCACCCTCACGCTAACCATCTTTTGTCACGATTCCGTACATGAAGAGAGATTTGTTTAGGATGGCCAAAAAAACCAGTGTGATGCGGGCTACAAAGGTGTGTTTTTCAAAGAGTAAAAACGGATCCAGATCCTTTCCGGTATTACTTTTTACGATAGTAATGGTAGGCTGAAAATATCCAACATTCTTAATATATAGTGCAAATCACAACAGCAGTGGTGGTAAAGAATGAATGCTTTACTTAGGTAATAAAACCCGGACCACAATTATCCGAAAAGACACAAAGCAGAAAAAAACTAACTTAAAAGTCGAGCGTATTAAATTAAATTAAATTTGAGATTGAGGCCTGAGTGTCTTTGTGAAAGTGTCAAGGGGAGGATGATTTACAATGTTAAATACTTCCAGTGAACAGAAAGTTTCTTGCGGTGCTGTAAAAAAAATTCTTCTGGGCCTGCTGAAACTCATTCTGTGGTTATTTCAACAGTTTGGGAAAAAATAAAATGTTTTTTTTTTCTGTAATCATTCACTTTCATGTTCTTTGCTGCAATTACAAGAATAGGTGCGGTGTTAATGGTGCTTTGGGGGAATGAAACAACATGTCATGATTTGGGGAATGAGTCTAAGCCAAGACATGCAGAATCACAACAGAACACCGAAGGAGGGAAACATAATATATTGGGGGGGGGGGGGGGTGCTAAAGGCACCCTGGGAAGTCCAGTGGGATTGGGAATGGGAGCACAACATCTGGAGAGGGGAGAGCAAACACAGGTGAGATCTGGGAGGTAAGTCTTAGGAAGGGGCAGAGAAAAGACTTGGGAGTGGGGGGGGGGGGGGGGGGGGGGGCTGCACTGGTGTGAGGGGGGCAGGTTGAGAGCCGGGGTACAGTATATCCAAGAAGGGGGGTCCAGGAGAGGGACCGTGAGGCAAGCAGGAGAGCAGGTCGGTCAGTGTGAATGGAGAACGTATCTGAGCGGAGTCCGGGAATCCTATGGAGCATGAGTGAAGAATCCTGGGGTGTAGCAGTGTCCTGAGGTGTCAGGGAAAAAAACCTGAAGGCAGGAAATCACAAAAAATACACAATCACAAGAGTACAAAAACACTAGAGTCTCAAACACCTAGAAGACACGACGACGGCTGGAAACTACCAAGCTGTAGCAATCATCCAGCGTCGAGCTGTGTTCTCCATCCACCTTATGTAGGAGGCCCACTAACTGCTGACCAGGTGCAGCTGGAAAACTCCCTCTCCTGCAACACACTCAAAGATAGGTTGTTGAGAGGAGCACTCACCACGGCTCATGACACAACACGTCCGAACAGGAATATAATTAGGTCCTTTTAGATTATTAGTCTATCTATATGTATTTTCTTCACTTCAGTGTGACAGAAGTGAATACTTAACACTTGTTTTTAAGTGTTGGTTTAAAACACCTGACAGGTAGCAATGGAGTGAATTAATCCCACAGATAAGAGTAATTGTGAGCAGGCCATGGGAGGCGGTGCAGATGCATTATGGAAATTATTACTAGATGATAAGAAATGCAAAAACATGTTGCATAACTGTTCAGTTCAGGACCTTCAGATATGTGTGTTTGTACAGCTTGTTCATTCAAACTCCAGAGGTCTGTAACCGTTCAAAAAGAGTATCTATCTCAACATGATTTGTAAAGGGACACAAAATGGTCTTGACTTAGAAAATTATTAGTAGATGTCCCAGTGTGACCATTTTATATATCAATTTTATTGTATTTTATAGTTTAAAGGGATACTTTGCAACTTTTTCAGATTTTTAAATCATTTTATTCACCCTTTACCCAGGGTTAATGAAAGGCCACCCAGCCCCTATCGCCCCTAAGGCCAGAATATTCCACTTGCAACTTCAGAATTACCCCGTCTGCTTCCTCGAGGACTACTGGAGATAGACAGCAACCCTATAATAGGGTAGATAAAAAGGATGGATGGATGATATATTTATGCAAATCAGCAATCACCATGGTTATGACACCTGAAATGATATTCCATGTCATGCTTTCTGTGACAGCTTCAAAACAAGCCTGCCTCAACATCACATGCCCTCAAGACCTGCTGACGTGTCTCACCCTCCTCCACCCACATATACCAGAGGCTTCTGAGTGTGTCTCATAACAAATTAGCCTTGGATCAATGAATGCTACATCCCAGAAAATGTTGGAATAAAAACATTGCAGCTTCAATTAGTTAAACTGGTTCCACCCTATTACTCGTTAGGGATCACTCAATGGCCCTAAACATGAGTGAATGGATGGATCAAGTATGCTTGCAAACATATGTTATATATCACACAAACATTCATCAGACACTTTCTATGTGGCTAAAAATGGATAAAACAGATACAAGCGACTATTGTTTTCTATGAGGTCGAAGCTGTTGTTTTTAAGTTCACAGACATCGCCCTCATGAGGTTGTGAGAGACTATTGCATCAATTATATCAGCCGAAAATAACATTGTCATGGCAGGTGATGTTTTTTATTATAAAAAATACTTATTTGAATTTGTTTTGTGTGTTTTGCATTTTAATTAAAGACAAATTAAAATGAATTTAATAGAATAAAATAGGGTTAAAGAATCTAGCAAATCAGAGCTTCAGAATCCTGTTTTTATTCAGATAAAATGCAACTTAAGATCCTCCTTGCAGTTAAATCCACAAAAAGATAAAAAATAAAAATTTCAAACAAAATTACAGCTAAAGCAGTGCCGTGTCCAGGCCCTTTAAAATGGGGTGGCCCCTGTGGGGCCTTTGTATACATGAAAGGCACCTATGGTTATGGAGTTTTTTTTATTTGGGGGGTCACCGCTCAAAATTTTATTTTATGCATTCTAGGAAATCTCTTTATCTTTTTGTTCTTACAGCAGTTTTGTGGCTGTTAGCAAGCATCATCATGATGCATGAAAAAAAAATGTAAAAATTCATAATACCAATACACACAAATAGACCTGGGGCTAGAAACCAATGCAAAGGTGCATACTGCCACCTACTGTTTAAGAGCTTATAACCCTAAGCCTTTTGTCAGTTTCAATGGGGTGGCCAAAATGGTGGCATGTGTTACCCCAGGGCATTCCCTGGACACGCCCCTGCTGAAAAGGAAAGATTACCATAGTTCTGGATTTTCACTGATGCTTGTTTTCCAACCCATTAACCCAATTTAAGGCTAACATCCCCTTGATTTTTATGCTGAACTCCAAAAGCAACAGTTTTATTATTTGCCTGCACAAGAGAAACATTTTAAAATTAAACACCCACAGCTTGAACAAATAATGGTGTAAAATACAAAAAGAATCCAATGAATCAACAGACATTTCAAAGTAACTTCTCATTCATCTGTTTTGTGCCTCTTCATCCTTTCAGTAGATCATATTCAGAAAACTTAGTGAAACTGTACATATGACAGGATTTTAAAATCCTAAAAAATAACCAGAGTGGCCAAAAAGAGAGGGAAAATACTGGAGATTATGCTTTAGTCTACATCGTAGATAAAAATAAAATAATAAACATTTGTGAGAACACTGCTGGTGCACATTAAACAAAGATCAGATAATCCTATAGCAGCTTTTTCTCATAACAGTGGACAGGTTTGGTCAGACTCTGCTTCATCTCTTCTTCACCTCTGCTCTGACAGAGGAGTTAAGGGACTAATGTACAACCAGAAATAAAAATTTAATGGGACAGAAAAATGAAAATAAGGGTAACCTAATGCATGCAAGTGTGGTCTCAATCTGGGTGTGATCTCCCTCTGTCGGGTTGGAGCTGGTGGTGCTGGCGGGGTTTCTGTAGCACAGCTCTGGCTGTGTGAGGACGAGGAATCAGCGGGCTGTTGAGGGGTTTTGAAATGTTGTGCTTGCCTGAATGTCTGCCAGACAAATTCACACTGAAATCCAAAAAATAAATAAACATATATATTAAGCTATATCTAATAAAGATCATTTTAAAGTTATTACGAATTACCTTTCCGAATCAATATTTCATCAACACATAATTATTCACTTTGCCACATTTTTACTGAAGTTGCTCAAAGCTAAACCTCATTTTTAAATTAAACACCTCAAATGAAATTGATGCTTAAAACAATTCTGATTCCATTTACATAAAAGAGATTTGTTATTAATTTCATACTTTGAGTTTGCTGGTCCTCGTGGCAGGGCATTCACTGGAGGTGGGCATGGTCTGTGGGGCACATGGGTCTCTTCCAAGTCACGGACTCTCTCAAACACAAGGTCTGTGTCCGGCACTGCTGTGGCTGTTTGAGGGGTGCATCTCTCTCTGTTAAAATCAGAGCTGGCCTGGCTGAGATGAAGCCTGCGGGTTCGAATCCCCAGCAGCTTCCTGTTAGCAGCAGCAGAAGCAGCAGAACGTCTGGTGTTTGGAGCCAGCGACAGTCCACTCAAGTTGGGGGAGAAGGCTTCTTGATGATTTAGATGTGACACCGATCAGAAAAAATATAAACTTTATTTAATTAGTCCAAAAATAAGAAAATAAACAGTGAGTTGGAACAGATGAATCTGGGGAGCCAGTATCTGGTCTGTTGTTAACGCCATACAAACCTTCTTCTTCTTCTCCCCCATCAGTCTCATCCTCAGTATCATGATGAATAGCCAGAATCTGTGGTAGCCGCTCTTTCTCTATGATCTGAAGACGTCTAAAAAATAATATAGAAAGATTTTCCGTGTTCATAATTACAACTGATGTGAAGAAATGGCTAGAGAGCTGTCTGCATATCTATGATATTTTAAAATTATTATGTCAAGTTATATTTCACAATGGAATGTGTTTTGTATACAAAATAAGCTTTTAGAAATAATTTAAAGAGCTAAAAACATCAGAAGTCTTGTAGGACCTGCTGTGCTGTTCCCTCCACGCCCTCAGCTCTGCAAACACATTAACACGATTTCCAAGATTAGGCTCCACGAGGTCATACGTGTGTTCTGGTACATGAATTGGAAGGTCACGTGGGGTCAGAGTGGAGCTGGTGGGTGCAGTCTGCCAGGGTGAGCCACAGAGGAAGTCAGAGCGCAGAAAAAGATCACTTCTAAAGGCTTGATGTGAAACACAAAAGAGAAAAGCTCCTGCAGCAGCTTCCATGGTGCTGGCAGTAAAAGCCCCGTTGTGTCCTTCACTTTCGCCACTTTCCTCCACTCTTTCTGCTTAGATCAACGTGGGAAAAATATACTGACAGACATTCATTATGGACTGTCAGAGCCCATAAAGCTGACACTGAAAGCTTTACTGTATTAAAGTAACAGACCTAGGCTCTTTCTGCAAAGTGAAATAATTTTTTTTCCTTTTACTGAATCGTAAAAGTTTAGCCTCTTACCTTCAATTTTTCTCGTCGTGCTCGAACAGCTTTGACCGGGTTTCCACAGAACAGGATTTTCCCAGCTCCTACACAAATGATAAATGACAGGCACTTGTATGGCGCCTCTCAGAGTAAGGACTCCAAAGCGCTTCACACTACAGTGTATCATTCATCCATTCACACACACATTCACACACTGATGGGGATGAGCTACGATGTAGCCACAGCTGCCCTGGGGCGCGCTGACAGAGACGACGCTGCAGAGCACAGGCACCACCGGTCCCTCCGACCACCACCAGCAGGAAATGTCGGTTAAGTGTCTTGCCCAAAGACACAACAGCAGAATTCTCTGTCCGGAGCCGGGATCGAACCTTCCGATTACTGGACAACCCGCTCAACCTGTTGAGCTACTGCTGCCCCAAACAAGCAAATACAAAATGGCGATTAAACTAGTACTGTAAGATGATTAAGGCATATTGGTGGCATTTTATTTAAAGATTTACTAAAGATTTTGAGAGGAATTCATTTGCAAAAACCGATAAATTATTTTTGATCAATATAATTTGACTGATTTCAGCTGAAGTAAATAATAATAAAACATATTTCTTGAAAATGTATAAAAAACTGAGTCATCTGTTTTTGCTAATGAACTCTTCATTTACTAAAATGAACTGCAATGCTAAAAATAATAATTGAAACTAAATAGAGTGTTGTGATTAATTAGCTGAATAATCAGGATGCACCGATAGGAAAATGTGGTCCGATATTAATAGAGCTGATAACCAATTTTTATCTATATTACACTAATATAAAAAGAAAAATCAATATATTTAAATTTTTTTACATTTTTTGTAATGATACTGAATCGTTAAAAGCAGTGTATCGATTTTTATTCAGAATTTACACGCTAACGTTTACTATATTTCTTGTGGTGTAATTCAAACCCCGATTGCTAGGTGGCAGCAGTTTTTACCGCCTTCTGTCAGCGTGAGCTCTGACAGAGCAACAAAATCTCGCGATAACGCTTGACACACTTGGATGCATCTAGCCAGAATTTTTCATTTAAGTTCAGTAAAAAAACATGACAAATATCGTCTGACTTTTAGTATCACAAATAATATATTGTCTCGCCTGTATTCTGATATATATGTATATATATATATATATATATATATATATATATATATATATATATATATATATATATATATACATATTGCCAGATTCTTGTCCATAAACACCTCAAATATAAGAATTATATATAAATATAATCTATTATTATTATATACTCACACACACACATTTATACTTCTGAGATGATTACTATCACTGTCATATGCCCAAACAATTACACATTATCACCCCCTTTACCTTCTGAAACGGATACACAAATAGCTACTATGCAAAAAAAAAAAATACAGTTTGTTAATGCCGACCCAGTTTTACCTATTTTATTATTATACCAATGTTTTAAAAAGTGACTAACATCAGCCGATACAGATATTGATGTGATATATCGTGTATCCCTACTGAATACTGCACCATCAATAAGGCTGCTGGTCTCTACTTCCACTGAGGCTAGATCAAAGTCTGATGAGGCAGGTCTCGATCCCACAGGGGTACAAATCCTAGGCCTGGTGTCTGATGTAAGTCTGGAGCTCGGAGATAAAAGGGGCCTGACACCAGAAGGACAGGAAAAAGGACGCCTGGTTGACTTGTGTGCAGTGTAGGGACGTACGCCGTCAGCCGTGTCCTCTAAAAATACACAAATATGCAGTTAAAATGGTGACTGAGGGATTCAGAAAATATTGTTAAAAAAATAATATAAAATCCTTACTGACAGCCTCAGAAGAATTACATTCCCTAATAGAGTTTCTGAGAATGTCCCAGTCTTCCCCTGTCATGCTACAGCAGGTCAACTTGTCCTCCTCCACCCTTACATCATCTAGGTAACGCAACTGAGGGACCAACTCCCTCACTGCGCTCCTGTAACTGTAATCCTCCACCTAGACAGGAGATGAAAGCAAAACCAGAATATAGAAGACAGATAAGTGTTCAAGGCGTAGTAAAACAGGAAATACCTGTGCAGTTTACTTTAATATAAATTCTCAAAACTCATGATTTGTGTTTATTTGATACATAAAAAATACCCAACCAAACTCTTATTCATGTACTTCTATAATACCATAGATTTTCTATTCTTAAAATCGTCCTAATTTGTTATCTAACCAAACAAAGTGTGGATTGTCCAGTAAATTACCGAGCTACTTAGGAATCAAATTAGAGCCCAGCTATCCTGGTCTTCACCAAATCACACAGAAGCAATGAATGAAAATAAAAGGGAGTAAAAATCTGGCAAAGAGGAAATGAAAAAGAAAAGACGGAGAGATAGAGGTCCAAGCGAGACGAAGGGAGCGGATGTGATGGAGAGAGGGAAGGGAAGAGGAGTGTTCGTTTGGCAAGAGAGCAAGCCTAAGAACTCCACAATTACTACAAAGCACAGACCTAATGCATATTCAGCTCTGCATCTCCAGTCATTGCCCTAGTTTCTTAATTAATGCTCTGCTGGTGGGTGTAAATAAACACATTCACAGTGGCCCAAAAAGCTCACAGCTAACTGTGGAGGAAATGCAGCTTGGCGTCTCCTACCCAGCACATGAAGGGGAATAGATTTGTGATTTATACCAAGTTTGCATTTAGATCACATTTGCATCCTGACATCACAATAAAAGTGCTTCGTCTGCCATGAGGTGACCTCAGAAGACTCTTTAGTTCGTGCGGCAGTTAAATTTGGCATTTTGATATCTTTCTGTGTGGTGATAATTCACCAACACGACTTTTATGTGTCAACTCTTTGTTGATGGATGATCAGAGACACAAGCTGCATTTGCATGTTAGCCTTTTACAGCATCAACTGAATAAAGCACGTCCTGTTTGGGAAGTCTGCCCAGATCCTTGCTAAAGACTTATTCAACTTAATAAGTTCACAGGTTTGTTTGATCTGTAGCTCGATTGCTTTTACTCTGTACGCGTTGCATCCTTTATCGTTGGTATGCTAAAAATCCTACCTCCTACAAATAAACCACACAGGAGACAAAACCAAAGCATCTGATATTAAAGGATCCATATAATGAAAAACTTTTTGGAGCTTTTCACCGTGTGATATTGTCATTTTCTCATGAGAAATAACCCCAAACCCTTTTTTGGCTGCATTCTTGCATCTTCCTTCCTCAGCTTCAACTTTTAGAATTTAATTTCAGGCCTACGTCCAGGACAAGGTAGCCCAAGTCATCAGGCATTTCTCCTCCCCCTAAAGCTAGTCTCGGATCTGGAACCCCCTCCGCTGGAAGTAGGTTACAAACGCCCACTTTCTCCTAGATGTGGGAACAGGGCTCATGATCGTGTTGTCATCACCGACGCAACAGCCATGTTGGCAGCCTACGAGTCCGTACTTGTTGCTTGTTACTACTGACAACCGCACGCTCCGCCTCGTTCTCGTGGCTTAATTTCATTTATTAATCATTTGATCAGTTGTATTATGCAACTATGGTCAATCGTTGCTGTGTTGTGGGATGAAACGTGATCACCAGGGAAAAAGAAGTAAAACTCTTTGGAGCTTAATTTTCACTGTTTTCCTAATTGGAGGCGTAACCGCGGAGACCAAGTATTCAACATAAAGTCTCATCGGCTCGCAGCTGTAAGGCGACCAAACATCACCTTCTGGAGTATTTTCATTCTGGTAATTTACAGATGGTGTAGGTTTTTTTATACATCATTTCTTTCCTTCAACTGCGACGTACACACAACACACACGTAGCAGTAGGCTAACACACGACACAACTTCTCCTGCTCCCCTTCTTCTTTAGGATGACAATTAGGATTGTTTTACTACAAAAACCAGCTAATTAAACGTTTACCTCACACACACATTTATATCCACTCACACCACAAGCAAGAAAGCTGAAAACGTCCGTTGTGCAGATCTGCGGAGGCAACAAGTTGTCGTCGGTGCTCCAGTCTTGGGTCCAGTCCGCATGCTTTTTGGGATTTTAACATGTGTTTTAACACATCCTTTCTCCCAAATCAGCTTCTTCTCTGCAACTTACTGTTTGTTGTCACGGCTTGTTTACGCTCGTAAGGCCATCACCATGTCTGCGCACATCCCAGAATGCTACGCACAATCATGTGTGATCCCAAGCCCTAAAGAGAGGTGGATTTCATGCTGCCATTGAGAATGGGACCTTCATGTCACAGATGACATGCTTTAGACGTCCGCCGGTACCAGAGTGAATATTGTGACAAAGTACTTCTGCATTGGAGGCAAAACACTGCCATAAAGCCATGCATCCAGTCAACAAAGAAGCACGTGATGGTCAGCACCGGATATGTGTCTTAGGCGACTATAACAGACTTTGTAGTCCCGTTGGTATTGTAACTGACTGGCATGCTGTTTTGCACCGGTTCCACTCTCGGTCTCAGCAGTATCTTTTTTTCTTCCTTTTTTTAGCTACACTTGCCAGCATTATGTTTCCAACCATTTATGTTGGTAAACAGTTTAAAATTTAAGGACTCATCTTTTTTTTTTTTTGCTTTCTTTGTTTATTTACAAAACACGCGGGCATGGGAGGAGCTTGACTGAAACCTGAAACAGTTTCACTTCCTGGTATAAATTCCGGCTGATGAGAATAACTCAGTAAAGATAAAATGACTTCTCACTGGTAATATATTACCATATATTGTGTCTACCGTTGCTCTCAAAGGTTTAAAATAGCACGATCTGACCTCTTTAATGCACGTGCTTGTCTTGCTTTCAGATGAAGACATATTTGCTAAACTGAATTAACCATATTTGTTTCATGTGCAGCAGATGTGTGAAACTTATGGTTCAGTTGATCTATTCCTGGTTCCACCACCACAACAGTAGAAACATGCTCTGCTGAAAGCAAAACTTGTCAAGAAAAAGGTTTAATTTATTCATAAATATAATATAATTTACCCAATTTTGATGCCGTCTCTCTTTTCAAAAGTTAATAATGGCTTATTGTTAATTTGCATGCTATTAGAAACATTAGAGAAGAATGTCCCTACCTCAGAGGAAGTAGGGTTTGGGCGGACACACACGGGGTTTCCCTCTAGGGTAAGTGTCTGGAGTTTGAGACACAAACCCAGATACTGAACCTGGACTAGGTCATCCACATTGTTCCCTTCCAGATCCAACAGCTGCAGGCTCTCCAGCATGCTAATCGGACTCAGGTCTGACAAGTTGTTGTAGGCCAGGTAGAGCTCCTGAAACAGAGACAGGGAGCATGAACAGTAGAAAAAGAAAGAGCTTGTTTTTATTTAAATCTACTAAGAATTGTGCACACACAACTATAAAGAGATCCATGAACTGAAGAACACAAAAACTAAAATTGTTAAAATGGTAAAAATGGTAAGTGGCCTGTGTTTGATAGCATTTTCGAACGTTCTACAACCCCCCAAGGTGCTTTACAACACAGTCGCACATTCACACACAAAATAACAATGATTATCTGTCATATTTTTTGTACACTGCAAAAAATGTTTTAAGTATTTTCAGAAATATTGTTGAATGATGTAATTATCTCCTTTGGATAATAACGCATTAGAAAGTACTTTTTTCCCCTTGTATTAATTATTAAACGGTCTTCACTGAGTCATCTGTTAGCAGTCAGCTTAACCTGAAGAGAAGAGAAGGTAGAAATGCCATCTAGGTCTTGTAGGCAGCAGGACGACATCCACAGCCCCTGCAGGTGGGAGAGGGTGGTTCCCAGGTCTCTAGGGAGACAAACAATATGGATGTAGAGGCAGAGAAGGGAGTTCTCACCATGAATCCAACATGCATTCCTCTCCTCGTTCGCCCATTTGTCTTCACAGCACACCCCTGGTCAGACATTTCCAGAGGAAGTCTGTATCTTACCTCGTAACACCCGCTCTCCTTCAACTCCCTCAGCCCAGAGGAGGAAATGCTATCAGAGGTAGTTCATGTCCGGCAGCCTCTGCTGCTCGCAGGGTGGAGCAGACACCTCTCTGCTTTTATATCTTGTTTTTCTCTCAAATATTCATCTGGTTACATTTGATCACATTTTCTACTAGAAAAACCAAATCAATCCTGACTTTTGATGATGGCTACGTGTATGGAAGACAATGTTTCTTGTCTCATTCTGTAAAACTAAAAACATCTTGTTCTCATTGTGTAACCAGCTCAGTGGCCTAGTGGTAGAGTGTCCGCCCTGAGACTGGGAGATCAGGGTTCGATTCCTGGTCGGGTCATACCAAAGACTTTGAAAAATGGGACCGAATTCCTCCCTGCTTGACACTCAGCATTAAGGGGTTGGATTGGGGGGTTAAACCACCAAATGGTTCCCGAGCGCGGCTGTGTCTGCAGCTCACCGCTCCCCCAGGGGATGGGTCAAATGCGGAGAACAAATTTCGCACACACATCAGTGTGTGTGACAACTAATGGGACTTTAACTTGAAGCATTTTTGTGACAGCACCAGTCATCATGTCTGCTTGTGTGTGATTTAGAAGCTGCAACTTGCTAGCCTGGCTTGCCAGACTCGTCCTGTGTTCATTTCTACACAGAGGACTAAGGAAACATGGGGCTGGCTGGTGGTCAGGTTAGCAACTTGCATCTACTATGCATATACTCTGTACTACAAGGGCCTGGTGTAAGCGCTTGGATGAAGAAGAGCAAAATAACTTACTTCGCTGCAACACTTCTGCATCTATGTTCTGAAAAATGCATTTCCAGGACTTTAGACCTGCTCAGAGTACCGTCTGACTCAAATGATCATTTGTTATGGCTTATAAATAGAGTGTGGAGTAATCCCCTGTGATTTGCTTCTTTTTTTTTTTTTACAGATGTGGCCTTGTGTTTGATGCATGGGAAAAATGACAAAATGTGCTATATTTATTCAAGTCGTTCGCTTTTTAAAGACACAAAATAGAAAAGGAACAGCTTTAGCTTATTTCACTTACCTTACTGACAAGATCAAGCTGTTGTTCAGTTTCAGCTGCTTTAACTTGGGCAAAAACGCACCTGCAAGACAATCAATTAAATTGGGATGTTTTTTATTTCAACCTGTAAAGACCCGGATCCTTTCCAAATTCATTCTATCAGAGGTCCAGCCATTATTACTTAAAAGGAAGTGCTGTTTTTGTTATGCACAGATGTACACACTCCATATGCAATCTAGGATTCTGGAAGAACAAAGGTGAGTACAGTAAACATTAGGAGTGGGAATTTAACGTGTTCAATTACAATTAATTAATTAGAACAATATCACGTATTAAAATTTTACCCCTTTGAGCCTGGGTTAGTAGCCTGTAAAAGATTAACGTCACAATGTATCAATAAATATCATCAAGCTGCATCTCTTAACATCTTGTAGCCTGAGCTTCAAGAACATAAAAACCATTTTTACGTTTTTTTACTCTGGAACTCTGTCAGTGGACTCAGTGGTCTAAAAGCAGCTGAAAACTCACCTGTTCAGGCTGACTTTTGCGTGACCTTCATCACCACCCTCTCCTCATTCTCTTCTTTTTTACCAATTCTGCCTTTCCCGGGATCCGTTTATTTCCCTCTTTCTTTTTAATTTTCTCTCTCCCTTTCCCTACATTTTGAATTACAATACTTTTTTTTGTTTGTTTTTATGAGATTGTTAATCATTTTTTAAATCTTTTTATTATTTACATTTTTTTTTGTTCTTGGGAAGCGCCTCGTGATTTTTATCTTGATCACTAAAAGATTGTTTTTCTTTCTTTCTTTCTTATGTGCTTCAAACACAACTGAAACTACAATTAAATGAATCACGACAAATTGCTGTCTATGAAAAAAGGAATATATATATATATATATATATATATATATATATATATATATATATATATATATATATATATATATATATATGTATATATATGTGTGTGTGTGTGTGTAGGGTTAGCATACGTATGTAATTTGGGTGTTTTTTAAGCCCAATATGCTACACTACATTTGACCAATAAGATGTGAATTTCTATATAAATATGGAAATCCTGTCTGTCTGGTCTTTGAATGTTTAACCAGAAGATTTAGAATTCTTTGTTTATTCAGGGATCGTAAGACACTTCGTATTAATTCAGACAGTCAAGCTTATAAAAAGTAAGAAATTTATTTTCTAAACAATTAAAAACATGACAACTAGGAAACACTTTAGGTGATGAATGAATCTAAGTGAATGGAATGTGAGGTGTGATGATGTGTCAATGTGATGTTATCAGAACCTTTGTATCTGGAGAAACTGAGTTCTGAGTGGGAGTGAATTTGGTCTGCTATAAACTATAACTGATGGTTTATAAAACCGCATCAGACACATCTGTCGAGTCTACGTACCCTTATCGGAGACTCTCTTTTGGATCCGAGATGTTGGGGAGTCCGTGGACCCCAAAGGTACCGAAGTCCGTAGAGAAACCGCAGTACGACCAGGTCAGTCCAGAGTCGTCTCCAGGTCACGACAAACAGGTGGTTATTTGTGTCTATGGAGGACTCTTAAGGAGTTAGAGCTTGTTCAGCTTTATTCTGAAGGAACCGTTTGCGGTCAGCTGTAGAATGCTACAGGTTTTGACAGCTTGTCAAAGATGCGACGGGAGAAGAGGCTTCCTCCGATGGCCAGTCAGAGTAGGGCTCAACTGAATCACTCAGGAAGCGATGCTGCTTTAATCACGGCCATATTTTGGTTCACTGACGAATCAGAATTTTCCCTGTAAAGGGGTTTTGCCAACAAACTCAGATACACACCTCCCTCAGATATGAAGATGCTGACTTTGTGGATAAGAAAACATCTAAGTGCAGTGACGTTAATTTTAACTTGCGTCATGGAGATATGGTGAGTGTGTCTTGTCCAGTCAGTGCGCTGATTAAATATATGGGTCATTTATTTCATTTCATCCTTATTAATCTTTCAATGTAATAATAATATTCATTTCAACTTCAGTAATTTAAGCACAGATTAATCAAAACATTTCATTTAACCATATTGTCTATTTCATTATAGGATTTAATTATGAAAGTTCATTCGTCTTGTTCTGTGAATAAAACCAGTCTTAGATAAGAGGGTGCTTGGGCAAGCAACAGTATCTTTCTTGCAGATTAAAGGCACCAGCTAAGACTTGTCTCCAATTGGCCAGATACTGAAGAGGTCAGACTGTAGGTGGAAAACTGACCATTTCTGGAGGCTACATACAGTGTGTGTGTATATATATATATATATATATATATATATATATATATATATATATATATATATATATATATATATATCCCGATATATCCCTCAATGGTTACCTTTATAATGAGACCAAAGTAATCAGTTAGACCTTGTGGTTACAGAAATATACGTGGGTATAGTGTGGGTATGTCATCTGTGCCTCACTAACAATATTTTTAATTTAAAAAAATGCTTGGGTGCAAATTGTCTTTAACGATTAAAATGTGATTGATCAAGAAAAAATTATTACAAAGCCTCTAATTAATTAGATTAATTTTTAGTCGAGTCCCACCCTTAGTAAATCTTTCTTCACTGTTATTTGTCACACAACCTCCCGCTCAGCCGTCAACCTCCTCTAGGGAGGCACCGCAGAGCCGCTCAGACTCCATTACCCAACATCCCTAGCGCCAGGTTTTCCGTTTCACGTCACCCGCCAAACCTATATAAGGAAGTGCCGCACAACGCCGGCTCACTCAGTCATCGTTCTCACCGAACTTAACCTAGAGTCCTAACCAGATCAGCTCAGATCACGAAGCCTGTTCAGATCAGACCAGCCCGATCTCCGAATCCTGCCTGTTCGTACAGATCAGCTTCAGACCAGGAGTCGCCGTGTTCAGCTGTGTCACAATACAGCTGCGTACCCGGCTCCCAGATTAAACAGCGTGTCCATTCAACCCGGCGTCAGTCACTCCGCGCTTGGGTTAAAAGCCACGCCACATCCAAACTCTCGCCCAGCTCGAGTCACCCCGTTACAGGATGACTGAGTCCACAGTTAACCCAGCGGAGTTTGATAACCTGCGTGCTCAGGTCAACCGGATGGAAGTCACGGTGGAACGCCTGGCCGCCAAGGTGGATTCCATCGCCACGGTGGTTCTCCAGCTCTCTGCTGCGCAGCAGCAGCAGACCTCCAGAGACCGAGACCAACCTATATTCAGCCTCCCGGAGAAATGGGATGGAACGCATGGCTCACCTGAAGGACTGTTAGCCACGTTAGCCATGACGTTCGAATGTCAGCCACACCGATATGCCACACCCCGCTCCCGGGTGGCGATGCTGGTCTCCCTCCTCACCGGCCGAGCTCAGGAGTGGGCAGCCGCCATGTACAATAAGAAATCGGAAGTCTGCAATGACTATGATATGTTCGTGAACGAACTCAGGAGGGTTTTCGTTCCCCCCAGTGGTGAGACGTCAACGGAGACGCAACTCCTCCAGCTCCGGCAAGGAAACCAGACGGTAGCGCAGTACACGTCTCGGTTCCGGACCAAGGCGGCCAAGCTGAGATGGGGAGACGACGCGCTAAAGGCGATCTACCTGGAAGGGCTCTCCTCCCGCATCAGAGACGGGATGATCGGACGGGAGACCCCCGGAACCCTGGACGAGGCAGCCGACCTCGCTCTCCAAATGGATTTGCGCCTTTTTACGCGCCGACCTGCTGAGCCCGCGGCAGCCGCAACCAACGATCGGTCCCGCTCAGCCAGCCCACTCACTGATGAGCCCATGCAGCTGGGACACTTAAACCCAGAGGAGAGGGAGAGGCGCTATAAGGAGGGGCTATGCGCCTATTGCGGCGCACCGGGCCATCGGCGCTTCTCTTGTCCTTCCCGGCCGGGAAACGCCGTCTCCAAGTAGGCAGCAGCAGAGGGGTCCTACTTGGGTCGGCCGGAACCCCCTCGACCCGCACCATGCTCCCAGTGACACTTCATCTCGCCCAGGGGCCCGTTGAGCTGGAGGCGCTTTTGGATTCTGGAGCAGCGGACTGTTTCATGGATAAGGATCTGGCGGCCCGCCTACACATTCCCCTGTCCGCTCTCCACCGAACCATTCCCGTTACCTCCGTGGATGGTACTCCTCTCCAGCCCTATCCCATCCACCAGGAGACGGTGGACCTCCGTATGGACGTACCTCCCCATTCTGAGACCCTCCGGTTCCTGATTATCACAGCCCCTTTATCTCCACTGATCCTGGGTCACTCCTGGTTCTTACGTCATAACCCCCAGATCTCCTGGTCAACTGGGCGGGTGCTCACCTGGGGAGCGGCTTGTCATTCCCATGTACCTTCTCAACCTGACTCTGAACCTGAAACCCCAGATGTCGATGTCTCTCAGATCCCCTCCTGCTACCATGACCTGGCCCGGGTCTTCTCAAAGACACCTACCACCACCCTGCCTCCTCACCGACCATATGACCTGGAAATAAAGCTCCAGCCTGGCACAGTTCCACCTCGGGGTCGCCTGTACTCCTTATCCCCGGCTGAGACCCAGGCCATGGAGGCGTACATAACGGAGGCTCTCCAACAGGGGTTTATCCGACCCTCCACCTCGCCTGGAGCGGCGGGGTTCTTCTTCGTAAAAAAGAAGGAGGGGGGCCTTCGACCCTGCATCGACTATAGGGGTCTGAATAAGATCACGGTCCGCGACCGTCACCCTCTGCCCTTGATGTCCACCGCCCTGGATGTAGTGTCCCAATCCGCCATATTCACCAAGTTGGACCTGCGCAGCGCCTACAACTTGGTCAGGATAAAACAAGGCGAGGAGTGGAAAACCGCCTTCATCACCCCGACAGGCCACTGGGAGTACCTGGTCATGCCCTTTGGCTTGTGTAACAGTCCTGCGGTTTTCCAACGGCTAATCACTGACGTCCTGAGGGACATGCTGGGCCGGTGGGTGTTCGTTTACCTTGACGACATCCTGATCTACTCCCGAACCCTGGACGAACACATCACACACGTGCGATCCGTTCTTTCCCGGCTGCTGGAGAACGGTCTCTACTGTAAACTGGAGAAATGTGCCTTCCATCAGGAGACCATCTCCTTCCTGGGTTTCGTCGTGTCGTCAAGAGGATTTTCAATGGACCCCCAGAAGGTCCAGGCTGTCGCCCAATGGCCGCAACCCACTTCCCTAAAACAGCTCCAGGGCTTCCTCGGATTCGCGAACTTCTACCGCCGCTTTATTCGCGGTTTCAGTTCCATCGCCGCGCCCCTCACTGCCTTAACCAAGTCATCCAACCAGACTCACCCTTTCCGTTTCACTCCTGAGGCCACACAGGCATTCCGCACCCTGGTGCACCGATTCACGACCGCTCCCCTCCTCGTTCATCCGGACACAACAAAGCCATTCATCGTGGAAGTGGATGCGTCCGAGGTGGGTGCAGGGGCGGTCCTATCTCAACGCGGTCCAGACTCCAAACTCCACCCCTGTGCCTATTTCTCCAGGAAATTCACACCCACCCAGAGGAATTACGGGGTGGGGGACAGGGAGCTCCTGGCTATTAAATGGGCGCTGGAGGAGTGGAGGCAGTGGCTATTGGGTGCCCAGGACCCGTTTACCATATGGACAGACCACCAAAACCTAATTCATATCCAGAATGCTCGCCAACTCAACCCCCGTCAAGCCCGGTGGGCTCTGTTTTTCGAATCCTACCACTTTCATCTGGCTTATCGCCCTGGTTCTAAGAATCTGAAGGCGGACGCCCTTTCCCGCCATCACGCCCAATCTGCACCCGTCAAGGAACCACCGCCTATTTTACCTGCCCAGAGGTTCGTTGCAGCCCTTCACTGGCCAGTGGAGGACGCCATCCGAGCTGCTCTTCCCACCGAGCCCGCACCTGCTGACACACCCTCCAACCGACTGTATGTGCCATCCACCTGCCGGTCTGAGGCCCTAGCATGGGGACATGCTTCCCGTTTGGCTGGCCACCAGGGGGAGACCCGCACCCTCCAGTTCCTACGTCGAGCCCTGTGGTGGCCCTCCATGGCTAAGGATGTCCATGAATACGTGGCTGCATGTTCCACCTGCGCCCGTTCCAAGACTCCGAACCAACCCCCGGCTGGTGACCTCCACCCTCTTCCTGTTCCCCACAGACCCTGGTCCCACATAGGCCTGGACTTCGTCACGGGGTTGCCTCCCGTCAACCAGCTCGACACCGTCCTGACCATCGTGGACAGGTTTTCCAAGGCGGTCCACCTGGTGGCTCTTTCCGGCCTGCCCACCGCTAAGCAAACGGCCGAAGTCCTTCTGGAGCAGGTGGTCCATCTCCATGGGTTCCCTCAGGACATTGTCTCGGATAGAGGGCCCCAATTCATGTCTAGGTTCTGGAAAGCCTTCTGTCGGCTGGTTGGTGCCAGTAGCAGCCTCTCGTCTGGCTACCATCCCCAGACCAATGGACAGACTGAACGCGCCAACCAGCAGCTCGGGCGGTACCTGCGCTGCTTTGCCTCTTCCCAACCAACCACATGGCCAAAGCATCTCTTGTGGGCGGAGATGTCCCATAACCTCCACGTCTCCTCGGCTACTGGTCTTTCCCCGTTCGAGCTGTGTAATGGTTACCAGCCCGCTCTGTTCCCTCACCAGGAACCGGAGACGGAGGTTCCTGCGGCCCAGCTCCTAGTTCGACGTTGCCGTCTCGCTTGGATCCGTGCTCGGGCTGCCATCACACGAGCTAACACGGAGTACTCACGCCAGCATAAGCGCCGCCACCGGCCTGGTCCGACCTTTCAGCCGGGCGATAATGTGTGGGTGTCTACTCGTAACATGCGTTTGCCCGCCGGCTCCAAGAAACTCAGCCCACGGTTTCTGGGTCCTTACCCCGTGGAAAGGGTCATTAACCCCGTGGCTTACCGCATCCGCCTGCCCCGGTCTCTCAAGGTTCACCCAGTCTTCCACATTTCCCAGCTGAGACCGGTCAGGACCTCTCCTCTCGCTCCCCCCCCTGTGCCCGCTTCACCGCCTCGTGGGGTGTGCGGTGATGGTGTTTATGCTGTGCGCCGCCTGCTGGATGCCCGTCGCCGTGGCAGGGGATGGCAATACCTGGTGGACTGGGCGGATTACGGACCGGAGGAGCGTTCATGGGAACCGTCGAGGGTCATCTTGGACCCCTCTCTCATAACGGACTTCTGGGCTCGCCGCTCTGGGACTTCTGGGGCCGTCCCTCGGGTGGGGGGTCCTGTCACACAACCTCCCGCTCAGCCGTCAACCTCCTCTAGGGAGGCACCGCAGAGCCGCTCAGACTCCATTACCCAACATCCCTAGCGCCAGGTTTTCCGTTTCACGTCACCCGCCAAACCTATATAAGGAAGTGCCGCACAACGCCGGCTCACTCAGTCATCGTTCTCACCGAACTTAACCTAGAGTCCTAACCAGATCAGCTCAGATCACGAAGCCTGTTCAGATCAGACCAGCCCGATCTCCGAATCCTGCCTGTTCGTACAGATCAGCTTCAGACCAGGAGTCGCCGTGTTCAGCTGTGTCACCATACAGCTGCGTACCCGGCTCCCAGATTAAACAGCGTGTCCATTCAACCCGGCGTCAGTCACTCCGCGCTTGGGTTAAAAGCCACGCCACATCCAAACTCTCGCCCAGCTCGAGTCACCCCGTTACATTATTACTCTAGTCAGCTGGAACCGGTCTGTGCAACTTTTTTCCTGTCACGCAAACAATGAGGATTCATGAAAACAGTTTTATCTGGAAGACAACAGTTAATGGTAAATGCATCATTTGTGTGCCTTACCGACGTTACCCAGGGTGTTTTCTTGGGTATTTATGCAGAGCTCCAGTGACGTCACAACAGAGAGGTCATGAGTCCCACACAGCTCTCTCTGTAAGAGACAGAAATTACTATAAGAAATAGTCACACAATAAAGTGAACTGTATTAAACTCATGTATCTAAATATTATATTAAGTTTCCATTCAAACTTTCAAATACATTGAATCTGTGATGTGAATAATGCTGTTGAGCTGTGTGAGTCTATTGGTTCTACAACCCATACATTTCTCAATCTACTCGTTGGTTTAGAAGAACTGCAAGGAAAGTTGCAAAACTATTATCGGATGTGCAGAACACATGTTGCAGCAAAAGTGTTAGTTCTAAATCAGTCTGTTGAAAGTGTTTTCTATCAGAATCACAGCCTGATTGTAAAATCTTATTAAATGCAAGACAAGACAAATGTGTCATGTAGTTGTAAATGTGCTGCATAAAAATGACAATAGTTATCTGCTCTACTTAGAAATGTTATAACGACCCTATTATAGTAATAATAGTTCTAAAAGAAAGCACAGAAAAGACACCTATTCCTAAACTGCCTCAGCTTTTTTATACTTCATCCTCGTGTTGTCCTTCATTTGGAAAATTCTGACTAAGACATACCTGCAAAATGTCATTTAAACACAAGAAAATGTAAAAAACAGTATCTATTATTTAATTCCACACAGTATTCACAGTGGGTTTGGGGCTTACGAAAAGGTGCAATACTACTTATTTAAGCATACATTTCATTGTTTATTAAACGAAATGAAAGAATTAAAGATATCAAAGATTGTGATTGAGGGTCTCTCTCATAACTTACCAGCCTTTCTGGAGAAAGATAAAGTTCCACAGTAGGACCTTCATCTGATTTAGAAGGATTAGGAGTTGGGTTGATGTTGCCTGACTCACTCAGTTCAGTCACCTGAACCCGAGCAGTAGGGCGGACCTTCTGGCCCACCGGCTCGTGAATGATACTCATTTCTTAAGCGCTGTGTGGTAATAATGATAATCATTAATGCATTAATGACCACAGCTGATGCATAAATAAGAACTCATCTAATATTTCTTTGTTGATCAAGTCTAGAAAGTGTAAAAAAACATTTACATTAGTAATTATTTTCTTTTGGCTTCTCCCTTCAAGGCACATGACAGCAAACCATCTGTCTCCATGTAGTCCTGTCTTCTTCATCCTCCACCATCACACCAACTTACATCACAAATCTCTTTTGTTGTCCTCTCAGCCTCATGCCTGGTGGCTCCAACCTGCAGCACCCTTCTACCTACGTGTCTCTCCTCTGGACTTGTCCAAACCATCTCAGGCTGTCCTCTCTGACTATCTGTGAAACTACTAACATGAGCTTTCCTCATTCTTGATATCCATCCTCAACATTCCCAAAGAGAACCTCAAAATCTTGAGATCTGCAACCTCCCGTTCTTTTCCTAATGAGCACTGTCTTTAGACAACATGGCTGGTCTCACTCCTGTCTTCTTTCCTTTCATTCTTCCTGAAACCTTTTTACCACACAGCTGAACCCCATCAGTCACACACAGTGATAGGAAAAGGGTGTTTACCTGTTGTTGGGAATGGTCCAGTAATTACATTTACAAAGAAAGAAGGAGCAAGACGGGCAAAAGTTTACTTGACAACCGATTTCAACTTCCTGGATACTCAAGGATCACTGGGATATGTAGTTCACGTGGTCAGTTCACGTTTAGCAGAAGGCCTTCAGATTTTGCAGGTTTTCAGGTTGGCTATTCAAAGTTTCTATTTATATCACTTACTAAAATGACGGGGTCAGTGGGTGAATTATTCTGAGGTTTAGTGAAGCATGCGCACGGATTCCTGCGTCAAGAGCGCGAGCTGGGCAGGTAGCGCGGGCGCAGATTAGGAGGGACAGTTTCTTTCACCTGAAAATAATCTCCCCACCTGTGCGTTGCTGCCACTGCGCTGCCGGGTGTGCAATAAAGATGCTGTATACTCGTTTCAAATGTAAACGGGCGCTTTCGTCTGTTACATTTAAGAACATAATATAAAACACGGATTTTCTAACATGTGCTGCGCGGTTAAGAGGCCATTTTAGAGAGTTTACGTTTCTCCAAAACGTGCCTGAACGCAGCAGACGGCAACCGGGGCGGGCCTATGTTTGATAGAGCTGGGCGTGGGCTCTGTACTCCTCATCTCTGCTCTCTGTAGAAGCACATTGTTCAACGCGGGGCTCATAAATTTATAGGACCGGAGAATTCACTATCTGGTGGGTAAATGCTGCTGAAACCTGCATTTCTCACACGAGGAAAAGGACACCTTTCGCTGCTGTAGGCGGTGGGACAAACGGAGCTGAGGGACGTTTCGTTTTTTCCTCAGCGGAATTGAATATTCCTTTCTTCCTCTCCGGCAAACGAAACGTCGTTGTTTAGTCGCTAATTAGCCCTCTGCTCTGCTGTGAGTATGCACTTTGCATTCCTGGGTTACACATATGTCGAAAGCGACGCTGTAATTGTCACAGGTCGTTAGTTTTGGAGATTGTGGCTCCACAGCTATTCTAACATGTTATCCACCTCTGCTGAGGTGGAACACTTGTATGCATTTCCAATTTAAATGTTTTAAATGTTTCATCGCATAGACTTTGATTTCCAAATCCAGTACAAGTTTTTTTTTAAAATTGTAGTCACTTTTTCAGTTCTGGTGTTGAAACGTGGTTCTGGTGTAATAGCATGACCACCATTGATTTAACCCCCCCCCCCCCCCCCCCCTCCCTCGACTAGCTGTGAACAAGAAAGTGAAGGCATGTAATGATCAGATGTGCAGTATTTTCTGTTATAGACTACAAACCAAGGGTTGGAGGTTATGGTGCAGAAATACAGACAAATAGGGTGACGCCCCATCACACTGGGCAAGGACCGAATCACCGCGGAAGTCCGATTCTATTAGCTGACTTATAAATACTCAAAATGTTTAAAGTTTATGCTTGAAGAAATGTCTCATCTGTTATAGCTGTCACAATACAGATTATAGTATTTTGGAAAATTCCTAATACTTATAATTTACTACATTCAGGGTTTATTCTAACAAACATTTTAATTTCTGGCAAACAAAGCAGAACATTTTCATTTTGGCATTATGTTTGATTAAAGCATCGCTTAAAAAAGCAGTAATGTGGATTTTTGTGTTTTTGATTGCACCTTGAGACTCTTCGTCAATCCATTCAATTCTTGTTTTACACTTTTTAGATTCCAGGCCGAGGGGGTAAAAATCAGGCAGGTGGAAACAGTTGGAAAAAGTCCAGTGATGGAGGTGTGATGTAAGCTTTGTTCCTTTCTCAGAACGGCTGTGGGCTGAATACTGCCAAAATAAGGTGTCTTTTGAGAATAGCTTGCAGTTTGTGTTTGCACAAATAAGTGAGTAAAAAGTGAGGCTGATTTACACCTCAGTAGTTCTTTGTGTGTGTGTGTGTGTGTGTGTGTGTGTGTGTGTGTGTGTGTGTGTGTGTGTGTGTGTGTGTGTGTGTGTGTGATCGGTGTTGTGGAGAGTACTTGGTAAATGTGTTATGTTACAGAATACTGATTACCTGCTTTGAAATGTATTTTGTAACGTATTCTGTATGTAATCCTGGTTGGGACTGAACCATTTTAGAAAAAGATTGAGTTGCGATTTTTCTAAAATAAATTGCAATTTCGGTTCCATCCACGACTTTATTCAAATGAGGGTTCAACACATTATTCACAAAATAGTCATTTAAATCGCACCATAAAAACATTAAAAGCTCTAAAATTTCTCCAATTATCTTGTTTAATGCTTTTTAAATGTTCTTGTGAAGCAACTTGTGTTTTTTTTTTATCTAAAGAGGCGGAATTGAAAACGAACCACCTGATTACTGGACAGACAGACTGCCTCCTGAGCTACTGCTGACTCAGGTGCTATTATTGCAGGATAACTTATTCCAGGTTTGAATAGTCTCAGTATTGTAAATTAATAATTAGAGCAGAGTAAAGATGCTTAGGGAGTGGAAATGTGTGTTGGAATTGTCCTTTCTGATTCTGACACAAAAAGAAAACCAATTTCAGCTTCATCAATCTCTTATTCTTGATTTAAAATCAAAAGGCAACTTGACTTGATCCATAAGCATGGTACACATAACTAACAACAGAATTGTTTTCACAAACAAGATGTTTGTACTCACAGAGGCTGCAGTTGTTTTGTGTGAGCAGACGGAGAGCGAGCTCGAACTGAGCGTGCAAATTTTTTGCCGCTTCAACGGAGCATTTAAGGAAAACGCATTTCAGCAACAGAACTGACCGGAATACTGACGTAACACTGGTGAGCAAATGCGTGGGTTTAATTAGCAACGCGAAAGGGAGGTGGGAGGCAAACACAGAAGACATGTTTGTTTTTTACCGAATAATAATAAAACACGTCTGTAATGTACGACTGTCTAAGAAGTTGCGCTTTCACGTACACGTGGTGTTATTATGATAAACCCCGTTCTGTTCCTGGAGAAGCAGCCTCTCTCTGTCACTCACCCATAGTGCTGAGAGACGAGAACATTCACAGCAGCAATAGGCGGTCACGTTTAATATCGGCTGTAGTAGCAGAGCTATGTAAGGGGAAAAAACGGGAAAATCATGTGTCACTCAGTCAGCTAGACTCGGCCCCACAACCAATATCCCCCCCTCTTAATACTTGGAATACCACCCTCCTCTCCACCATCCTACCACACCATTTTGGGGTCATGTGAGCAGAGAATGCACTTTGATTGGCCCCTAGAATATTTCAGTTCAGCCAGCAGCTCACATAGTGTGCACATGGCAAGTTTTACCCCCCCCCCCCCCCCCCCCCCCTGAGTTGGAAAATATCAAACTGGTTAGATATTCACCTCAGCATCTCGTGAGGTGGAAAACTCTGTGAAAGTCAGGCGCATACTGCTAGTTATCTACTGAGCAAATGGTCATTCGAGGCCGTTAGCTCAGCAGTTTGCTCTCGAGTGCGGCAGGCTTAAAACAAGACCCAGAAGGGAAAAGGTCACTTGGACTCGAGTGATTTTTAAGAGCAGATTGTTAAAGTCTGCACACTCATAATTTATATAATTGCATTGTGCACTGATGAGATCTTAGAAATGATATTATTCAGTCCTGTTTTTAATTTTGTTTCTGTAAAATAGTCATTTAAAAAAATATTTGACTCAAAGAGTAGAACAGTCATTTCTCAGTTTGGGATACTAGAGGATGATATCACTGAAGATCAGGGGTAGGGTGTGGTGGACTATTGAGGCATTAGCATGGGGTCTTGGAGTCTTTCCGTCTGACTGTGATACCTCCCTGGAGAAGGTCTTCTTACTGTCGTCACACCATTAAGAATCTATTATCTCTTCTGTGGTCTTGCTAGTATGGATTATTTAACCAATTAAGCACGTTAATGGAGGATAAAATGTCTCTTATGAAGATTTCGCATATCCATCTTCCTGCAACACGTGCATACAAAATATCAAAATGAAGCACACATCAGCTGTATACTTTTTAATTGAAGAGCTAGCAAGAAGATGGACTTTGCAAAGTTTCGTTACTCCACTTTGACCCCTTTTATTACCCTTTAGGCATGTAGTAAGAGTAGCTCTCTCTCGTCTTCAGCCACCCTCCTCTCCACCATCCTACCACCCCTATCGCTTACCTGTGCTTGCACCCTCCGTAAGCTGTCATGTAAGATTATCCTCTTGGTCCAAGCAATGCTCTAGGGTTTCATAACGAAATGTTAATTTCCCAGACTGGAGGTGGTGTGCTATAAATAACCTTAAACACAAACATGCTGTGTGGTGTGCTTGGATCAAATAGGGAGCAGCTCTGCAAAAGGTTTTGGGTTCTTTGGAATATAAAAGGTCACCACTTTGCAGACAACACTGTTTTTGTACCCGTTCTAACAGCAATAGCAAGAAATAAATGTTTGCTCTGTGTTCTAATGCAGCTTAAAGTTACTGGCACTTGTTAGACCTCATTGCATTTGTATGCAATATTTTTTTTACATGTGAATTAGTCCTTCACAGTTTGATGTGCACTTGCAATATTTTCTGTCCAATGAGAAAAGTGGTGCTGTGCAAGAGAATACGAAGGTGTGAAACTGCTACTAAGGCAAAAAACATCTAACACTCACCACTGACTTTATTAGATATGCCTATTCAATTGCCATAGTTAATCAGTCCATCACATGGAAGAAGTTCTATCCGTTTTCATATCTAGATGGGATGAAGACACTTTACTGAAGTTTAGAGGATTAGAATAGATAAGACCCAGTTTACATGGCAGAATTTTAAATTGGCAATTTTCAAAGCGTGAGAAGCCACGCAGGTGTTGATAAAAATATCTTTGAGCCTGTTTTGATCCTATGTTTGATTTCTGGCAACGCAGTAAAAACTACACATGAACCGATTTCACAGACAAACACTCCCCATCCAGAAGGCAATCTTGTGAGATAAAGTGTGACTTGGAAGTAAACAAGCCTGGCGAAGGAGTGTGCAGTGCACTTCCGCCACCTTGCTTTTTGGTTGCCTAGATTTCACATTCACCGGGCAGCACACTTGTTTGGCCTCAAAATTGGACCAAGATAATCAACATTTGAAAGCACAAGTTTTAGATCATAGTGGCCCCGACAAGCTTCCGATCAGACCAAAGCACAGATGATGGCTTTTTACAACCAAGATCACAAAATGTTTAAACCTGGAAGCAGATGGACAACAGTGGATACAAACCACATCATGTGCCAGTCCAGTCGGCAAAGAACAGGAAATCCATCCATCCATTTTCATCCGCTTATCCGGAGTCTGGTCGTGGGGGCAGTAGCCTAAGGCGAGAGAGAGGCCCAGACTTCCCTTTCCCCAGCCACATGGGCCAGCTTCTCCAGGGGAATCCCAAGGCGTTCCCTGGCCAGGTGAGACATAGTCCCTCCACCGTGTCCTGGATCTACCTTTAGGTCTCTTCCTGGTTGGACGTGCCCGGAAAACCTCACCAGGGAGGCGTCCAGGAGGCATCCTGACCAGATGCCCGAGCCACCTCAACTGGCTCCTCTCGATGAGGAGGAGCAGCGGGTCCACTCCGAGCCCCTCCCGAATGACCGAGCTTCTCACCCTATCTCTAAGGGAGAGCCCAGCCACTCTTTGGAGAAAACTCATTTCGGCCGCTTGTATCCGTGATCTCGTTCTTTCGGTCACTACCCAAAGCTCATGACCATAGGTGAGGGTTGGAACGTAGATCGACCGGTAAATTGAGAGCTTTGCCTTCTGACTCAGGTCTCTCGTCACCACGACAGACCGGTACAACGCCCGCATCACTGCAGACGCAGCACCAATCCGCCTATCGATCTTGCGCTCCAGTTTTCCCTAACTTGTGAACAAGACCCTGAGATACTTAAACTCCTCCACTTGGGGCAGGACCTCGTCCCTGACCCGGAGAAGGCATTCTACCCTTTTCCAAATGAAGACCATGGTCTCAGATTTAGAGGAGCTGATTCTCATCCCAGCTGCTTCACACTGCTGTGCACTGCTCCAGCGAAAGCTGAAGATCACTTTCTAATGAGCCAACAGGACCACATCATCTGCAAGAAGCAGAGACCTGATCCTCAGGCCACCAAAACTGATGCCCTCCACACCTTGGCTGCGCCTAGAAATCCTGTACATAAAGGTTATGAACATAATCTTTGACAAAGGGCAGCCTTGGTGTTGTCCAACTCTCACTGGGAACGAGCCCAATTTACTCCCGGTAATGCGGACCATGCTCTGACACCGGTCATACAGGGACCTAACAGCCCGTATCGGAGGGCCTGGTACCTCATACTCCCAGAGTACCCCCCACAGGGTCCCCCAAGGGACGCGGTCAAACGCCTTCTCCAAATCCACAAAACACATGTAGACTGGTTGGGCAAATTCCCACGCACCCTTCAGGATCCCCCTAAGGGTGTAGAGCTAGTCCAGTGTTCCACGGCCAGGACAAAAACCACATTGCTCCTCCTGAATCTGAGGTTCAACAATCCGACAGACCCTCCTCTCCAGAACCCCTGAATAGACCTTACCAGGAAGGCTCAGGAGTGTGATCCCCCTGTAGTTGGAACACACCCTGCGGTCCCCCTTTTTAAATAAGGGGACCACCACCCCGGTCTGCCAGTCCAGTGGGACTGCCCCTGATGTCCACGCGATATTGCAGAGTTGCGTCAGCCAACACAGCCCCACAACATCCAGAGCCTTAAGGAACTCTGGGCAGATTTCATCCACCCCTGGAGCCTTGCCACAGAGGAGCTTTTTAACCACCTCAGTGACCTCGGCACCAGAGATTTGAGAGGCCAACCCAAAGTCCCCAAACTCCGCTTCCTCACTGGAAGATGTCGGTGGGATTGAGGAGGTTTTCGAAGTATTATGCCA